TGTTCTTCAAGAGAGTATCTGTTTTTTTGGAGGAAGGGATATTTTTGGAGGGAGAGAGGATAGAGCATGCTCAAGAAGAAGAAGAAAAAAAAGAGAATTAGAGGGGTAGACCGTAGGGATGGAGGGAGGATAATATCAAACCAAAAAAAAATGGTGTTCTTCAACAGAGCATCTGTTTTTTAGAGGAATGGATATTTTTGGAGGGAGAGAGAACATAGCATGCGAAAGAAGAGGATAATAGAGAATTAGAGGGGTAGACCGTAGGGAGGGAGGGAGGAGAATATCAAACCAGAAAATAAAAATTGTGTTCTTCAAGAGAGCATCTGTTTGGAGGGAGTGATATTTTTGGAGGGAGTGATTTTGGAGGGAGTGATATTTTTGGAGGGAGAGAGGAGAAAGCATGCGGATGAAGGGAGTGTTTCAGTGCAATAATTTCAGTTGCAACTGCTTTTTGGAAAGCCGTTGGATATCCAACGGTGTTCTCATATTAAGTCCTCATTTAGAGGTTCTTGCTAGAGCCTTGCCCTTTTAATGAATATGTTTTTCCTTTTGTTAGCAAACAGGTATCTTCTCTAGCACCGTTTCTTGCCCAATTGGAGCCGCATTGTCTCTCTCCACCAAAACAACCCCCTGCAGCCCAAACTCCTCCACCGCTTTGCCTTTCCAACACTTGACCCAGCGCCACCCAACCCAGCCACCTCAGCTCCTTCCCCACCACCGCCACCAGTGCCCCCTCATCCGATGACCACTTGCTCACGTGCTAGTCTTTGCCAATCCAAGCTTCGCATTGATGGCACCGTTCATTATCCTCTCTCTCAAGCACATGCCACTGTTCTCTCCCAATCCATTGAGCCCACTCGTTTCACCGAAGTGGACAAATATCTGGAGTGGCATACTGCCATGCCTAAAGAATTCAATGCCCTTGTTAAGAATCACACGTGGCTTTTGGTTCCTCCTTCGCCCTCTCACAACATCGTCGGTTGCAAATGGGTTTTCCGAATTAAGCACCACTCTGATGGCTCCATTGAACGCTACAAAGCCCGCCTTGTTGCTAAAGGCTTTCATCAGCAACCCAGACTTGACTATGAGGAGACTTTCAATCATGTTGTTAAACCCACCACCATTCACCCTATTCTCTTTCCTGCTATCACCAACTCTTGGACAGTCGCCAATTGGACATCAAGAATGCTTTCTTAAATGGTGTTCTTCAAGAATACCTTTTTATGTCTCAGCCCCTTGGCTTAGCTGATCCCCAACACCCTCACTTCATTTGCAAACATCAAAAGGCCTTATCTAGACTCAAACAAGCCCCCCGTGCATGGTTTAGTTGCTTCAGCGTCTTTCTAATATAATTTGGGTTCACTCAAAGCAAAACGGATTCTGCTCTCTTTATTTATCGCTCTTCATACTATTTATTTATTATTATACGTTGAAAATATTATTCTTACTGGCAGACGTGTTGATTTTATTTCTTCCTTAGTTGGCTCCTTGCAGTACCTCATCTTAACTAGACCCGGCATATTGAATTGGACTATCATTTTGTTCGCAAGAAAGTTGCCCTTGGTAGTCATCTTGTTCAGTTTGATCCCTTCACTGATCAATAGTTGCTGACCTCCTCACAAAAGGTCTTCACAAAAGTCGTCATCTCCAGCTCTCTAACAAACTCGTCCATCGATGCCTACCGTCCAGTTTGAGGGGGAGTATCACGCAATCAACTCATGGTCGTTAGGCCCTTCCTCCATTACAGGAATCCTTCTTCCATATTCGTATACGTGTTAATACTGATTTACCTTCCTTGTATTGTTGATTCAGTTTCCTTGTACATCTCTACTAGGGTTTTTAACTGCGTATAAATCTCTCATGTATCACACCTATCAAATCAATCCAAAATACAAAGTTCACAGGATATTCAAATTTGTGTCTCCAATGCACACCCATCATTTTACTACATGTAAATAAGCATCAAGTATAAATTGCCCCTTGTACATGCAATCGACTAAAATCCAATTTATAAATACTACCACAAACAATACATTACACAAATTTAGTTGCAACAAGCTTGAAACTTCTTTTTGGTGCTGCCTCGTTAAGCTAGGATCAGATGCACATAATCATCATCAAGATTCTGCTCTCCTACTTGTGATAATTAAAAAAATTTGAATTAGTAGGGAAAACAAAGACATTAGCAGGAAACAGTAATTCTATAAATATTTGATGTACATGAGTTTGCATCACATATGGCAATTGGGATGCCATTTTTTCTGTGACGCCCCGAAACTTTGGTCACATGACAACAATACCTGCCTCGAGAATCCCGAGAATACAATGCCCAATCACCACATCGACATACTCCTAAGTATTGCCAAAGTACGTTAACCCCTTTTGTTTAGTTAAAATGGGTTGGATAAGAATGTCATTGGTAGTGGAAATTAAAACAAAATATTTACATTACTTCAACCCGAAGTTACGAATTTGTTATAGTATGATAATAACCACAAAGGAAAATTTAATTAGAAGCAAAAGAGAGTTCGAAACTAATGAGAGATACAATAGAATATACCCTTAGATCTTTAGTTACGGTATTACCTCTGTATTATGGACTGCATCCTAATACCTTTGCCACGTAAGAAATCATATAAATATGTGAGCCGTTTGGGGAACAATGAAGTAAGCCCTTCTTCCAAAACCTTTTCCTACACAAAAAAAATTGATATGTTAAGATATGTTCTTATATATTTGTATGAAAAAGTTTAGAAAAGTAGTTAGTGTGATGTGCATACCGAATTAATTTGTTTTGGGTGACTGATTATGTCTCTTGAGTAATCAAGCACTCCCAGTGCATTATCCGGATATTTAGCTTTGTCTTTCTCATAAAAGGACTTAAAAGCTGGATCACATGTGGACGTTACAATCGTTGTTTCAATGTCAATCTTCTTGCCGTCGTTGTATGTACCCTTCCAAGCATCCCCTGTCTTACTTTGAAGTTCCGGGATGGCATCAATGGGGAAATAAAGTCTCTCATTAGACGACATGAGTAGAGGATGATGCAATAAATCACCCAAAGCCACCCTACAAATAAAATAAAATGATTCCATAAAAAAAAGTACAGAAATGGAAAGAAAAAAGAGAGAATTTTTTTATTAAATAGTTCCCTTACTGCGTTTTGTCAACCATGTGATAAAAGTGTTTCAGCTCCACACTTGTACTATTATCGCTCCCAAGTATTTTCGTAACCAAAGTTCTAAATTCGTCCCTATAGGTTGGCAAATTCTCTGTATTGGATGGATTTAGAATATTGATGTTGATCTTTGCTCGATCATTAACGATGTATATGTCATCAAGTGTCAAACGGCCAACACAAGGAGGTTTCACCAATGCAGAAAGCTCCTCAATGACGTCCCTTCGAAAAGGATATAAAAAAAATGTTTAGAAATATATGTATACATATATATATATATATCGGAAATATATATAAGAAAAAAAGAAGTTAAACTGTATGAAACTCACTGAATAATGTTGCGGTATTTATCCGCAACATAATTACCATCCCATGGTGAAGTCGCACGAGGACTCTGTAGCATCTCAGCTAAGGTATATTGGGAATTTGACGGTTCTCTAGTAGCAAGCTCAGTTACTGCTGCGTTTGTATCATCCTGCAGGTTGCTAGAGACTCCTGAAGTAGAAACGTTTGGGCATTCCTGCAAGAATTCGGGAATAGCAATAGGTTCACCTTCCATATTTTCGGAAATCACTCAAAAAAAGTTCAATAATATGAAAACAAGCAACTAAGAAGAACAATCAATCACCCACTTTTATAGAACTCCTTGTATGCTCACAAGCTTGCTTTGGCCTCTTTCCAAGCACTCTTACGTAGTTGTGATGATGGTATTGAGAAAACACGACTTCTAGTCTAAAAACTTAAATATTTTATTTCCAAAGAGACTGAGTCCAATGAGTGGTGATTCTATATCCTTCCTTGCAAAAGCATAGGGGAATAAAAAAATGAAGAAGAAAGACATTTCAGAGACTGTCAAAATAAGGGAAAAAAGCAGACGAAAGAAAAATGGTTTTAGTTATTATTATTATTTTTTTATAAAGGCACTTATCTAAATTATTTTAAATTAATCTAATTAACAGGGTAAAGGGAAATGTTTTAATTTTTTTGGTCCAACGAAATGTTTTAGTAAATTCCCAAAAGAATATAAGTCAATTAATAAGCAAATAACATACGAGAGAGAGACTTGCACATTAAATAACTAGTATCATAAAGCAACCAATGGAGTTGCTCCTTTCAGTGCGTACACCTGAGATAGTTACAAGTCGTTTGTTGTTTTTAAATCTCAAACCATGCCAACTTGTCATAATCAATCGACCTTAATTATGTTACGTTCAGACCTTAATTATGTTGCGTTCAGTTAAGCCGAGTTTTGGTGACAAAACCATATTCAATAGCTATATAATTGGACGCGTACAGAGTACTTTTTTATGAATGATAATGCATCAAAATGGCCAATTAGAAAGGTCATCCATGCAAATTAGTCCAATTAATAAATTAATTATTTACAAAGTAGGAATTAAGGTCTAAAATATCGATAGTTTTGAAAATATCGGTTGTCCAAAAACATAAAAATTTAGATGGAAATATCGGGATATTATCGATATCAATAAAAACCACAGGGATTGTAAGAAAAACTTAAAAAAAGTTCTTGAAACTTTGGAGGATGGTTATTAATTTAGTCAATTACCTATTACTTTATCACAAAAAAATTGAAAGGAAATGTATTGCATGATGAGTTTAACTTATTTAAGTTGATTATATTGCGAGTTGACAAACACTGCGAATAAAAAAAAAATATATAGTAATTAATGAAAGAAGATTAAACACACTAAAATCATTTATTTTTAATAATTTACTACAATATTTTACACTTTATACATTATATGGTAAGATATATGAGTGACTTAGTACCACATAGTTCATATAAGGTTCAACTTTGAATTATTTACACTCCATTGAAAGAATATATAGGCCGATTCATATAGTCGTGGTAGGTATATATATATATATACAAAGTAGTTATAAATAACCACTATCATAAAGCAACCAATGGAATTGCTCCTTTGAGTGCGTAGTTATCTGAGATAGTTACAAGTCGTTCGTCGTTTTTAAATCTCAAACCCATGTCATGTATTCTAGGTAAGAAACTTGTCATAATCAATCCTAACATGATTGACCTTAATTAAGCCGAGTTTTGGTGACAAAGCCATACTCAATAGCTAATATTTTATACAAAAAAAATTTGACGCGTACAGAGTACTTTTTTATGAATGATAATGCATCACCATGGCCAATTAGAAAGGCCATTCATGCAAATTAGTCAAATTAATAAATTAATTATTTATAAAGTAAAAACTAAGGTTTAAAATATTAATGGTTTCGGAAATATCAGTAGTAAAAAAACACGGAAATTTCTATGGAAATATCGGGATATTATCAATATTGATAAAAATTGAATAAAAACCACAAAATTGTAAGAAAAACTTGAAAAAATTTCTTGAAACTTTGGAGGATGTTTATTTAGTTAATTATCTATTACTTTATCACAAAAAATTGGAAGGAAAATCTATTGCAAGATGGGTTTAACTTATTTAAGTTAATTATATAGCGAGATGACAAACATTGCGAATGTAGAAAATATGTAGTAATTAATGATTTGTGAAATAAATAAAAATATAATCCACATGGTAGAGTTCATTAATTGACAAGGCATGACCACATCAACTGCCACATAAGATGGTTGGTTAATGTAGTCAATCTTTTGTGTCTAAATAGCATTACTCTACTTATATTAGATAGGTGGAAGCCATGTGTTGTTTTATAATCTTCAATGCATGGCCTCTGGCACGTCATTTATTCCATCTTCTAGCTAGGTTGATTCAACTTGTCATAATTAATTAATCATAACCCTAGTCACATGATCGACATTAATCATATGGTGCATTCAGTTAGGACGAATTTGGGTGAGAAAAACATATCTAATAGATTAATTATCAACTTATGAGATATTTGATTAGTGATGATCGAAAGAGAAAGTAAAATAGACCTATCAACAATTTATACAAAATAATTGGACGCGTACGAAGGAGATCATCCAATGCTCTGCTCAAAGTTTCAAAAGTTTACCTCCACCTCCACATCTACCATCCCCACCACCACCACCTCCACCTCACCTTCACCATCACCACCACCACCAGCACATGATTAGCACATAACACTTTCAACATCATGTATATTTTAATCATTATCCACAGTTACAACAATTTTATATTAAAATTTACCAAATGGTTTAGACACTGTTTTTTATACTAATAACAATTTTAAAATATTGTTTTATAGAGCATGAAACTGCTTTACTTTACAGCTGATTATTTCCAAAGCACACCTTAAGCAACTTTTTAAAAAAGTGACATCAATCTCAAACTGAGCCTAATGATCCTGAATTTTTACAAATTACATGGCTATAGATAAAATCATTTAACATACGGCAAAAAGTTGTTTTTGGTCCTTGTAGGTTGGCACTTTTGCCACTTTTCACTTTGGTCCTTATCATTTCAATTTGATGAATTTTGTCATTGTAGTTTTCAATTTAAACAATTCAAAGACAAATTCTAATTTATGTCAAAATAGACTAACTACTGTTAGTTGTTGAGGGGCATTTCGGTCCAAAATAAAAAATAAAAAAAAACCAAAACCCCAAAAAAAACATAACCGAGAACAAAATAACAAAAATTAAAAATTAAAAAGTAATAAAAAAAACAACCCAATCACCGAAACCCCACCTGCCACTATCATCCTTCCCCACCCCTATCCCAACCTCCGCAACCTCCCCCACCTCATGCCCTAGCCACATCCACCCAACAGTCCCCCCCGCATCTCTGTACAAACAACGTAGATCTAAATTTGTGTTGGCTGCGCAAATCTCACGGCCTGGTGCTCCGGGCCGAGGGGATATGCGTCAACACGTGACGTCCTTCTTTTGGATGCAGTGCGGTTGTGCGCGGGCGTGCCAGCACGGTCTACCGTGCGTCGAGGTGGTGATGCGGTTTGGATAAAATGGTTAAGTGGTGCGCCTGTTTGAGTTCGACTCCTAATCAAACGATTGTGGCCGAGAGAGGAACTGATCTCGACCGTTAGGTTCACGGCCTGAGCTACAAGGCCGTTTAGTGGTGGTGTTGATGGTGGGTTATGGGCGGTGCTCCGGCGCGTTGCTCGGAGAGCGACGGTCGTATGATATATGGGGTGGATGAGAGAGTAACAAAGATGGTGCTCCGACGCCTTGAAAATCAAGGGTCGTATGATATATTGCTGAATGGATTTTCCTTACAATCTATCACTACTCCTAGGAAAGCAAGTAAAGGTATTGAAAGTGCATTACAGGAAAATATAATTTGCTCCGTGGGAGGCTTTTGGTTTGGTGTTTGAACCCTTTTAATGTAGTTTGAGCTTGGTATTTATAGGAGGAGCTCTGGAGGAGTAATCGAGGCTGAAAATCTGCATGGTGGAGCTTGATCAGAGCAAGTGGGTAGTCCAATCGACATTTGGGATTGTGAAGCATGGTGGTGTGACCCCATAAATCCCGGTAAATCTCGGCTGCCGCCCTGATCGTGGGTTCTGCACCTTTGGCCGTGAGAACGCATTAAATGCCCTGGTCTGGTGGTTGATGACCTGACCTCTCAAGTTGTAAGAATATTTGAGAGAATGTTTGTGCCTAACTTACTCTGATTCCCATCACCAAATTCTGACTTCAGTCACTTCCCATCTTCCCTCATGCATTAAATGCTTTTTTGCGGCCAGTGGGTTTGCTGCAATAAACAGAGGCGTTACTTCATTAAATGAAGTGTGGGACCCTGCTGCCACGTGGCGATGTGACCTTAATATCTTCGGCCGTGGCTCTTGCGTCCTTCGGCCTCGGCCGATAATGCCGCGGTCGAGAGGCCGAGAGGATTCTGCCTTCGCAGCTTTTCTTTTGTCTTTTAGGGAGGCAAATGCCCAAAGAAATGCCACGTTTCAGTTCATGGGCAGGTGCTAGGGCCGAGAGGAAGTCCCTTCGGTCAGCTTTACGACCGAGATTTATTAGGCACAAACAATTTGGGGTTGTTTTGCTGGGTAGGGGTCATATTTGAATCGGATTGGCTTAATGCGATTTGAACCGTAGGTCTTGGCAAACTTGGTAGAGACAGTCACGATTGAAGAGTTTCCAAGCAACCGAAAGATCGAAGCAATCAAGCTCATCAGTTTTGCCACCAACCAAATAACTTACGGTTCTTTTCTAGTCTCATCAGCCATGTGCTAGTTCAGAGGATCAAGAACTCTATAAATAGAAGGAGAAGTCATCAGCGCAAGACACAACTCAAATTAACTTTTCTTCTCATAAAAAGACTTCAAACTCGAGCAACCCTTGATATTTTTTGAACTCAAATATCTCTCTTGTACCAAGATAACTAGTTGACAACTCCTGATTGTTATCCTGTTAAGTTTATTGCTCTGCCAACATTTGATATCGATTCCTAGTTGCTAGGCCTTGCTTACTTACTTGCACCAGTAATATAAATTGTATTTTCTTTACTGTCATTTACTTTCAAGTTGTAATTGCAATGAACTTAATAGATAAATCTTCATTTTAAAGTTGTTACCTGATGTTTAATCTTTTAAAGTTATAGCTGTAATGAACTAAATAGAGAAATCTTCACTTTAACCC